CACTCACTGCGCCGTCCAAAAATCCCATCGTCGCCCCGTTAGGAAGCTGGTTGTATATTCCATCAAACAACAGAAGGTTGAATCCGCCGCCGAGAGCAGCTTTGTGGACATACTCGTAGACCACCTTTATTTTTCGCCCAGGGCAAAAAATAATCCTTGCTACGACACTGTCTGGAGGTTAGTTGCAAGGTTCCTAACAGAAGAACATTGTGGTTTCAATGGTGAGGTGTTGTCCTTTTTGCAATTTTAAGTTAATTGAGCTTGAAAATTTTTACCGTGGAGTGTGTGCCAAGATGAGCTCCATGCATTTGTTGAAGTGAGAGTAGAAGACAATGAGCTTTTGTCTTAAACTGATACCTTGTAATGATATGATATCTGATTTGAAATTTTCATATTACTCTTAAAGATTCATGCTTATCCAAGCCCAACTGTTTATATGTGATGTGCAAGAAGGAATCTTTTCATGCTATAGTTTCATACTTGTTTTTTTTTTGACTTTATATATTTTGTTAATACTAAAAAATTTATGTTTATTCATGGTTTATATGTCCTATAGATACCTCTTATAAAATTTACATCTGGGATTTACATTGAAGATACTTGTGAGTGTGGCCATAAAGAAGGAACCTCAACTAAAAATTGATTGCACATGATGAGAGACTATTTGTTTTCTTACACTAAATCTTCTGTGCTTTTTCCCTAAATTCTTGCTCTGATTTATCTTTATTTCTACTTTTGTGTGCTGTGATGACTAAAATTGTTTCTCACATTAGCTTTTAGGTTTTATAGTGCAAATAGTTTTATGGGCACAAAGATCTTGCCTTATTTTTTCAAAATATTGTCTATTTTTTCCTTTTCTAATTTATTCAATTTGTTTTTGAAGTTATGTGAATGTTCCAGTTCCTTGGTTGATTTAGATTTTTTTGTTGAACTAAAAAAACAAGAAGAGCTTTCTTTTTCATATATATATATATTATAATATATATATATATATATATATATATATATTATATATATTTATATACATGGAGATGTTCTAAATAAAAACCTCCTTAGCCTAAAATAAAAACCTCCTTCATCAATGACTAGGATTCAGTCAAACAGTCAACAGACACATGCATTAATTACCTCATTAAACACATGCATTAATTACATCAACGCAGTGAATCTGGATTCACTACAGTGATTCGAGATACGTTGAGGTAGTGAATCTGGATTCACTGCGTTGAGGTAATTAATGCATGTGTATGTTGACTGTTTGACTGAATCCCAAGCCATTGGATTCATCTAGATCCAATGATGAAGGAGGTTTTTAGTTTTTAGGCTAATGAGGGTTTTTATTAGAACCGTCCGCTATATATATATATATTATATATATATATATATAATATATAATATATATATATAATATATATATATATATATATTATATATATATACTATAATATATATACTATATATATATATATATATATATATATATATATATATATATATATTATATATATATATATATAATATATATATATATATATATATATATATATATATATATATATATTTATAGTTTGTATATATATATTGTAATATGATATATTAGATCATTAATATATTTGGTATATATATATATATATATGTATATATATGATATATATATATAATAATACTATATATATGATATGTATATATATAATATATACTTATATATACTATATATATATATATATAATATATATATATATATATAATGTATATATATATTATACATATATACATATATAATATATATATATACATATATATATACACATATATATATATATATATACATATATATATATATATATATATATATATATATATATATATAGCACACACACACATATATACATATATATATACATATACATATATATATATATATATATACTGGTATCGATGCTGGTATCGATGCTGGTATCGATGCTGACGTACAGTTTGTTACGAATTAAGGGCTAAAATTTATTATTTTTGGATAAGATTTTAATCCAATGGCTCTCATTCACTGATGTTTACTATAAATAGGGGTAGAGAGTGAGAGGTTAGGGGTGTAAAAAATTTTGTAACTCTATTTGGAGAGGAAGGTAACTCTTAATTGAGAAGGCCATCCAAATTTGTAACTTTTATTATAATTAATAAAAAAAAAAATTTCCACTTCAAATCTTCTTCTCTTTGTTGGATGATGATGATGGAGATAAAGAAAAGTTTGAAGGTTTGCTTTTCTTTTATTTTTCTCTTTTATTTCTTTTTAGTAATTTCTTTATTATTGCTTATTAGTTAGATTTACATTCATGTTTGTAGTGTAGATTTAATTTCTTGTATTTTTATTTTTTTTGCACTTTAATTTGTAGAGTAGATTTATTTTCTTACATTTAATTTTTACAATTTATTTTGTAGTTTATATTTTAATTCTTTGTAGTTAGATTTATTTCTTGTTCATAGTTTAGATTTTTCTTTTTTTTTCTTTTTGTAATAGTTATTTTTCTTCTTGCTTTTATTTCTTAAGATGTGAAATTAATTCTTGTAGAAATCTTAGAATTATATGAAACTAGTCTAATTTCCTTTATATTGTATGAATTATTCTCTTTCACTTAAAATATTCATGTTTAGGATAATCAACTAGAAAACTAATTGGTAGAAAAAGAATTTGATAATCTATTTAAAATATTCATGTTTAGGATAATCAACTAGAAAACTAATTGGTAGAAAAAGAATTTGATAATCTATACATTTCTTAAATAGTTTGATATGTTATGCTTATGAATTCTAGGAATACTATCTTGTTGTTGTTCTTATCATGAATAGTAATTTTGACTTAGATGATAGTTTGATAGGTTATATTTTTCTTAAATGGTTTGATAGTCTATGCTTAATAAATCTAAGTTGAAATATGATAAAAAGAGAATAGTTTATATATTTTGTAATTGAGATTAGCTAGTGGATTAAATTCTAGATTTCTCATATCTTTAATTGAATCCTCCATCTTGACTTTCTTGAATTTTCTTTTCATTCTTGATTTTATTTCTTGATTTTATTCATTCTTCTTTCTTGCCTTGTGATTTCATTTATTCTTTGATTCTTTCTTCTCTCCTCTAAAATTCAATTTATTGTCTCTTGCATATATTCACAACAATCACTCTCACTCATCATAACTCTCACACTTATTCTTTAATCCTAATTTTGTCACGCACAAAACACGAAAACCAATTCTAACCTTCTCTTAAAATCACCTTCCTCGTGGGATTGATAACTTTTTATACTATATCTTGATCAATTGTGCACTTGCGATTTTGGTACATAATTATGCACCATCACTTCTTTAGGGAGAGGAAGAATGCTTTTAGAGGAGGAGGCACGCAGGGGCTTAGATCTCTTGAGCAAGCCATCAAAGGAGGGGGTTTAGCAGGGAGATGGTGAGAAGGTGGTTGAAACGAAAAAGACGGATTAAGGTTTTGAGGATTAGAAAGAGGGGGAAGTCCGAAGATGGTTTGATAATAGGGAAGGAGGGAGGCGGAGAGACAGAAGGAGGAGGAGAAGGTGATGGAAACGTGACGCCGCCTTGGAACCGTAAGCGCCGCCTGTATGGGTTTCGCTTCGTGACGCCTGTCAAATCGTCTGACGAATCGCCTGTTCCCCCGCTCCATCCTCACTTGAAATTATAGAACAAAAAATTGGTTGATTTAGATATTGGCTTCAGGATTTCCATTTTTAACCTTAAAGTTAGTTATTAAATTGTGTTACTATTAAATTGTGTTACTAGAAATAAAATAATGGAAATACTCCATCCTATTGTTCTATGCACGCCTTATTGAATCTAAAAGCTTAGAACTAAATTTATGATGCATTAAATGTGATATTTAGTCACATGGAATATTTTTCTTCTGTTGACAAAAAACTTTTCACTTGGGATCGATAAGTACTTAGAATTGGTTGAGAATTTTCACTTCATTTAAGGCCTTCATCAATATTTTAAATATGTGACAAGTAATTTATATTTTTAAAAGTTTGTTCATGGCTACTAACATTTGTTTTGATGTGTTTTGAAGGATTTACTCGGTATCTCAATAATAGTTTATCGCTCGTCCATTGATTGATTTTGAATTTAATTAATATAGTTGTTCCGTCTCTTTCACTAGCTTGCCTCTTCTATACCTTTTAACATATATTTATTACCCGAGATCTGTAAACATATGAGGGTAGAAGCATCACATGGATTTAAGCTCTGAATAATACTAGGAATAATTAACCAAGATTTTTTATGTATAACATTTGAGTAAAGGAGCATTACAAAGCAATTTGATGCTTTAATTTCAGTTTTTACTATAAACTTGTCATTGAAACTATAATAAGAAAACTTGGATGTTAGTTTATGCAAAATTTAAGGTTCTTATTTTATTCTATGCTGACTGTTTTATTTTAATTGAAATTTTATTTTATTTTTATTATACTTTGGGTTACATTATATTTTGTTGCTTTGTCTCTTCAAACCGGATGATGAATACGATGTGATTTTGATCAGCTAAACGTATTAATGTAGGAGAAAGTTCATTCAACGTTCACATTTTAATGTATTACTAACGATTTGTCGTATTTTTTTCATTGTGAGGATGAATAGTAATAAGGATTTGCGTATGGACTGTTAAATCTCTCTCTTAGCAGTGAAATTAACCTTGATGAGTGTGTAGAGCTCTGTTTTTTGTATTCTCGAATCAAGTTGGGTGTGAAGATTTTATTTTCCTTGTTAACGGCATTTGATTACTAAACAAAGCGAATACTTAAATAAATCCATCTAAGTCAGTCTAATATCAGAACGCTGTTTTCCCTGTGATTATTCAATCAACCTGCTACGAGTCAATAATAATGATGACGAGGACAAAAGAGAACGAAAGATTAATGTCCACTGACATCAACGGGGATTGGTGGAATCAGATTAAATATATATTTCTATCAGAAAGGGGAAATAAAAATCCCAATCTTTTTCATTCGTCTTTCTCTCTCTCTCTCTCTCTTTGTCCTCCCACCAAATCTGACCGTCGACGGAGCTCAGGGCCTACTCCTTGCTGATCAATCTTCGATCTCTTCCTCTCTCTAAAAAAAAAAAAAAAAAAAAAAATCCAAAAGAAATCTGAGAAATGAATTGGATCAATCGCAAGATCCATCTCTACAATGTGACGATGGGCCTCTATATGCTCGATTGGTGGGAGCGGTTCCTCTTCAGTATCCTTTCACAGGGTTTTCTGCTCAATTTTAGGGTTTTTGTTTTCTTCTTTTAGTTTCGATTTTTCTTAATCAGAAACTAGATACGCTGATGCTCGTGTTGCTCTGGTTCATCTTCTACAATGGATCTCGATCCGCGTCAGAGTTCTACACCAAGTGAGCCCTCCTTACTCCGCCCAATTTCATTGAAATTTAGGTTTACCCCCCACCCTCCTTGTTTATTGATGATTTCTTCAGGGGTTAACTTTGAGTCTTTGTTGAACTCCTATAAGAGCTCTGCTACAGGGACTATTGGAGGGGACACGTGGGATGTCCCCCTCCTATTGCATAATGAGCTGGCATTTTCCCTCCTATAAAGTATGGTAAAGTGCAACAATTTGATTGAAAATGCTGTAGTACTAGTTAAGAGCTGTAATAAAGGCGGCCAAATACCAGAATCTGGGTTTAAAAATAAAAAGACCCTTCCTTAATCCTTTCTTGGTAAAAAGTTAGCTTTTTGACTGTTTTTGGATGCTTATCATAGGTTTAGATACTGAACCGCAAAATGTGATGTGAATATGATGATAAGGGGTTCTTGTTTACATCGTTGTACATCAATTTAGAAGATGTGTAGCCATTTGTCAAAGTTTAATCAAGTTGGTTGCGATCTGGTCATTCACTGCAATATACTTCTGTCTTGAGGAGTACACCAGCTGCAATTTCTTCATTGATTGCTCATTATTATAATAAAGTTGTATGTAGAGATTCATTTTGAACCATATAGAAGATGCGAGCGACTCACATCTGATGCTGCATGGGTAGTAGCGGTCGAATGCATAGCCATCACATTATATTAGGATAAGCTTTTGTTGTATTCAAACCTTCATCTTTATTCTTAATTAGAATTCAGGTTCGTTTAGGAATTTATTTTTATCTTTATCTTTTATGATTAGCAGTTTAAGGTGTTACTGGATTGGTATGTATGTAGGTTATTATTATGTTTATTTTGTACTTGAAAAAGGGAGGTTTGATCAGCGAATGACTAGTTATTGAGAATATGGGAGTTAGTTTACAGATTGTGGTTGTGTTCCCTGTTTTTCTGTTCTCTGATTTCTCTTCTTTTTGTGCTCATCCTTCCCTCATGCATGTGCAGATGCATAGAAAAGAAAGGGAAGGATATGGGTCCTTTTTTCTTTGGTTTTTTTCTTTTTCTTTTTTTTTGGGGCGGGGGCAGGGCGAGGTATAGATCAAATATCAAATTCTACTAGATTGTTATTTTATATGGGTCCAATGGGATATAACCAGCAGAATCATCGGCCTTTTCTCTCTTCTTTCTCTGCCAATAGTTTAGAGGCAGAGGGGTTGAAGCAGTATGGGATGCTTAGGCATCGTTCATTTCATTGTTTCCTGAGGCATGAATTATCATGGTTCCGAAATGCTCAAGTTGCTCATATGTGAGCGTTTTGGTAAGGTTATGGGGACGGGTGAGATTTAAATGTACTATATCTAAAGAGTACAGTTGCTCGAAATGTGCCAAGCTAGGGTACTAAAACACAGTTCTTCCTTATTAACTATCAAAGCAAAAGTTATGCTGCCAACGACAACACCTGCAAGTTAATATTCAAAATAAAAATCATCTCACTTGAGGGAAAAATATTAAATAAACAAAGAGATAAGGATGATAGTAAAAACTGCAGACGACACACAATTGAACTATGTTAGGCTGGGAACAAGTTTTTTGTTCCACCCACTAATGGATAATCTAAATTCTGGGGAAGTATTGAATAGCTTTTGCATGGCTTCATAATTTCAAACACATAAGTAAATTCATCTTTCTACCAGATATATTTTTAGAATTAACTCAAAGCCCAAAACTCATCCAAGGTCAACCTCACTTAGAGATTGAATGCATTGTTTATCTCATACATACACAAACACAAAAATAATACATACATACAAATGTCAAATTTAATTGCTTTTTTTTTGGGAAAGTTAAGTCTTTAAATTCCTTATATTTTTAAATTTCCAAAAATGCACCTTGTATCTAGGATGCAACAAGATAATAGTTACACTAGCTACTGCTATACAATCTTTTTCTGTATCCTTGATAAAGCAGTTTTCTGAGGCAATTCTTTTTCTTCTCAGCCATGTGAAGCCGAAGCTCTTGGATGGTGGAAATTTTGGCATTGGAAGGAACACGTTGTCCTAATTGATGATGGAGGGTAATAACAGAACTACATGTTGTTCACAATTTGGAACATGTCATAGTGCTTCAATTTCTATTTAAGACTTAAGTATTTATATAGTGTGTCTCCACTGTGAACTATTACACTGTTGTACCATATAATTCTCTTGGAATATTTTGCTAACAATTTTCTCCATGTTTATCTTTGTATAACTGAAATTATTGATTCTGATGACCGTGGTTTCCAGTATATCAATTTGTTAATTGCAAGTAGAATTGTATGTCAAATTAAAGGTGTATCATGTGAATACACACAGCTCATTGTTTTTTTCCCTTTTTTCTGATGCAACACACTGGCTTATTCAGCTTGTTTAAGCTAACGTATTTATATTTTTGGTGTCATTTATTACTGATTCTTGGCACCACTAAGTTATTTTTTAACTTTAAGCTAACTAATGACATGGGATATGCTACATTTCTTGGAGTTTCCCCTTAACTTATGACATGGGATATGCTACATTTCTTGGAGTTTCCCCTTGTGTAGTTATCCACACTATAACTCATAGGATTACTTTTTTTTTTACCATGATCAGTTCAGTGCTTTCCATGCTACAGTGTAGTTATACTATGAATCGTTCTGTCACCGGTACCCTGTTTTTATTTACTATTTTAATGGCGGCTATGGAGCATGCTCGTTATCCTAGATATGATTTAGTTCTATTTCTGCATGTATGTGCTCCCACATCCACTAGTCTTTTTATTAACCATATCCTGTTACCCTGTTTTTCATTACTATTTTAGTGGAGCATTCTTGTTAGCCTGTGTATTGGATTTTTGTATATCTGTATGCATTGACTAAATATTATGGTGAAGGCAACAGAAACATGGCCTCTAGGTTGGTTCTTATACTTCTCATACCAAAATTAGCACATGAAAAGTAATTTGGCTATCTGATTATTTTTCTGTTACATATTAAGGTCATGAATAATAGGAAGAAATTTTAGTTACATTAACACAGTTGCTATTACCTATCAGATGTGAAGAAATGTTAAAACATGGGAAGAATGTACACACAGTCAGGGTGCAATATTTGCATATTTCTGCAAACATGAGTAGGTTTAGCAGAAAGAGCTAATGGATTTGACTGTTCAGATACTTGCAACACTCTTTAGTCGTAAGTCTTCAGTCGTTCATGATTAATGGGTGATATAAGTAACTGTGGTTTGAAAGTTCCATTGAGTAAATAGTTATTAAGAAAATTTTGTATGCTTATTAGAATGACTAGAATTTCAACCTTTCAATAAGATGTTTAGGAGTGGAAGCATTCAAGAGTAACCTTAGCAGTAGAAGGGGGCCAGTGGTGGACATTTGATAGTGTTTATGCATAATGAAAAAGATAACATAAGTAATTAGTACTTAGTAGTGAGCAAAATGCAGCGGATGTGCTCTTTGGGACTAAGGAAGGTAATATATGAAGCATATATATGTTTGTATTATGGAAACAGAAGGAAACGGTTCACATCTTCAGACTTCCTATCGATTCGAATGAATACAGCATGGGGTATTTGCAGTAGACTCAAAGTGGATTCCTATAAAATAAATATGAAAAGAAGTATACTGGTGGACTTATACCGGGATACATATTCACTTTCCATGAGTTTGTGATGCAAATAAAGTATATGCTATGGAATATGAGAAGCTTGAACATTATGTCAATAAAGGGGAATTCGTCAAATTCTATCAAAATAATCTCTGTTTCTTTGCTTGCATAGAAACTCCAAACTGCTCTCTTTAAGCTTCGAGCACTTCCATGACTAAAACATGGTTGGGAGATAAATATCCGACCTTTTTCTCATAAGACCCTCTCTTTGTTTCTCACTTCCACATGCCTGTCTATGATATAGAGGATACATTTGTAATGATGCGATGTATGAGAAATTTCCACACCCTTGTATAATATTTTGATTTCTTGTTTGGTAGTTTGACAGTTCTTGATCACTGTTTCTTTTAGTTTCTTAACTTTTATCATTCTTATAGCCACAAATGCTCTTCGTGTCTTCCTCATCAACATAACTGCAGCTTTTAATTGTTAGTGAAACCACAGCAGTAAATGCTGCTTGAAGTAAACCAAACAAGGGATTTTAAGTTCATTTCCTATAACAAATGCTACATGCACTATTTGTGTGGTGTGTGCCATTTGCTGCATTTCCATTGATCAACCCAACCAACCCAAACCTCTAATCTGTGGTGCAAATAACTCTTCTCTGAGATTATGATTATTGAATGTTTGTACCATGTGTCCTACAACCATTAATGGAGATGCAAGTAAGCATGATATTAAACACTTTCATCGTATTTCATCCTAAAACCCTTTACAGGGAGGCTAGAAGCATGATACAGAACACTTATTCTAAATTGCTGATATTAAACACTTCTAATTATATTGCATCATACAACCATTTATAGAGGCAACTCATCTTTTAATGTCATGCAACCCAAAGTTCCTATAAACTAAAGCCTTGCTGATGAAGCAAAAGGGATTCATATGGCAACACTTTCAAATTTTGCGCTAAATGGGCTTTGTCTTGTTGTTAGCCATCTTCTGATGCAACAATATGATCATACTTGATTGCACGAAAACCAGTGTTATCAATGCGCAAGGCGCAATGCGGAGCTCAAAGTCTCTTCACATGTACATGCGCAAGGCGCAATATGATGCGCATGCCCAAGTGAAGCAAGGCGCACACCACACGCATAATTTTTCAAGATGGTTATCAAACATGAAAGAGCATGTTTTTTATATTTTCACATAAAAATATGTCAAGATAAATAGTATTACTATGAAATCACAAAAAAAAGATCTCGATCTCTTATGCTAACACATCCAACGTAGAGCGAAGTTCATAAAATCAAAAGTCAAATCAAGACTAATATTGAGGTGAACTTATGGTCCTCAATTAAGCTATTATAAAAGCCTAATGGTTTTATTTTGCTTTTTGGGATATGAGTCATCGAATATAAAAGCCCGATCGAAATGTTAAAGAACAAAACTATATGATGCTATGCCTAGCATGCACCCTACGCGAAACATAGTAGGTCACTCGTGAGGTGCAAAAGGCGCTGCTGCATCAGATGTAGGGCGCTTTACCATCGCTCCGCATCACAGGGCATGTAAGGCGCAGTGAGGCGCACGCCTTTGAAAACACTGACGAAAACTTACCATTCTTATATGATCTGCATCATGACATGCCATTTCTGTTTTTCCCGAGATAGTCAATGAAGCATCACATAGTAAGAGTTACATCATCAGAACAGTATTTCATAGATGAAGAGCACTCAGGCCTGAAGCAGGCAAGTCACAAGCTGAAGACCCCCAAACTTTTGAATAATCTGTTATGCCTTGTGGCTGTTATAAACTTCAATATACCGTAATTGGTCACGATTCATTGCATGACAGAAGCTTTTTTCGCTGGGATCTAAATATCTGAATTGTGATATGATATCCTGATCCCAATATGAAGTAAATTTGAAAAGGGACCATCTACATCAATCTTTTCACTGTCATATGTACTATTCATGTGAGACGACAATTATAGAATGTGGGATTTATAACATATTGTTTGTGATCCATGTGGATGTGGCATGTAATATATGCGATTTGTGTGTTTTTCTGATGCATCATCAGAAAAGAAGGAAGTCATTTATTTCCAGCATGAGCAGCGCGTTATTTCCAATGCGTTGCGTTGTTTGGGTTGAAAAATCTACTCTATTTCCTTGGCTGTTTCTGTATCTTTGGAATGCTTGATCACATGTATGTTCATTTTTTGTATATTCGTGGCTGGATGGAGATTTTAAGCTGTTGTTGTCCTCTCTGTTTCCAGGTTGCCGTTAAGTTTCATACTGATGTTCAGCAATCAAACAGTTACCTGTATCCTGATTGTTTGGTCTACGTCCACTATATCTTGTCATTATTCTTTTGTGGTTTTGATATTTCCTCTTTCTGGAAATTTTGAAGGAGACAAACACAGAGTATTCAGTATCATATTTCTACTTTTTGTCGTGATACTTATGTTGATTCATTTTCTAGTATCAGAATTTGTTCCTCATGATGACTCCAGGGGAGTACGCATATTCCTTATAACATCTGTAAGGAATCTGTGTATTTGTTTCACATGCTTTTATACGATTTCTACTTTTGACCATAATAATGTTTAAAATGCTGTGAAGGTTGATATCGCTTCTGTTTGTTTCACACATCCAATCACCTTGGAAGTTTCATGGTCGAAACTTGCTCATGCTGTTGGGCATCAAGTTCTGTTTCTATTTTCATTTGCGAATTCTTGATGCATTACCTTCAGACAAGAAGAGGGCTTCACAATTCTACACATTCAGACAAGAAAGGGCTTCACAATTATACACGTGTTGTGTACTGTAGATTTGAGAATGTGTCCAACTTGCACTCATCTTTATATGCCAACCGTTTGTACTCTGCATCTGTATTGGCATTTTATTCAAGTCTAAGCAGGTGCTATGTACCAGTTTCTACTCATTCTGCGGCCAAAAGGTAAACCTTAGTGACTGATTTTCTTGTGCATCATTCATATCCTAAATTTGCATTCCTTTCTCATTCTTATTATTGGTAATGAATCTTAGGGTCAGTTTGGCAACTCTCCCTCTCCCCGTAAACATGTTTAGCTTAAACTGGTTCAATTCTGGAACCAGCGGAGGTGGGCTAATTTTGAACCGGTTTAAGCTAAAAAAAAATAGCATAACAAAACTAGTTTAAATTCTGCCCCGGTTAGTTGCGAAACTAGGGCCAATACTTGAACCGATTTTCTTTCACTAAACGAAACAAAACCAGTATAAGTTGGAGTTGCCAAACAATGCCCACTGGTACAAAACGACGCATTCCAGACGGAAATTTCCGTCTGGAATAATTAGAATTCCGTCCAGAAAAAGTATTCCAGACGGAATTCCGTCTGGAATACGGGTCTAATTTGTTTCCGTCTAGAATACGTTATTCTAGACGGAAATTCCATCTAGAATGTATTCTAGACGGATTTTAGTTGACGGAAAAAAAACCCGTCTACAATACATTACAGACGGATTTTTTCCGTCTAGCATAACTATCATAGACGGAATTTTTCCGTCTGCGATATTCTACATCCCAGACGGAAATTTCCGTCTGGGATAATTATCCCAGACGGAAATTACAGCCAAGACAACTTTACAACCCAGACGGGTATTTCCGTCTGGGATACAAAAAATCCGTCTGGGATAAATTTGCAGTTGCCAGCTTACAAATCAACCCTGTAATTCCAGCTCTCAAATAACCCTGTAATTCCAGCTTACAAATCAACAATGAAAAGCACATATATACCAACCACACCAACATGATAACTATCCACAAAACAACTTAAATAAATCACACAACACCCCAACACATGTTTTTTCATAAATAAATCACACACCAACATGATACCAACCACATATATTTGTTTTTTCACACAACAAACACAATGTCAACTTATAAATTTGCCACACATAAACGTATAAATTTGCCGCACAACTGAATCAACTCACTGTTTGTTTTGGGCTCAACACAAAGAAAGTTTTGATTTAAAAATACAACGACGGTTTACAAACCGATATCCAAGTCCATTTTCTCTAGAGAAGCTCAAAGAAACACATGCACCTGCAAGATAAAAAAGAAGGTGACATTATTTTTAAGAATATGATATATTCCTAAATTTAGAAGTATGCTTAGTAATAACTAAACATGAGTAATAACTAAACATGAGGCCAAATTTGCGTTATATAAGCAGGATTCACAAATACAGTTGTGCAAATTTGTGTTATATAATGTTAAAGCATGAGAATATTAAAAAAAAGTAAATTCCCAAAAGTACTTCAACACACAACAGATCCACAAGCATACACGCCACATATGATTATGTTTTTCTAGTATTGACCTCAAAATCATACCAGAAATGCAAAATGAACCACCTCTTCGCAAAGTTGATTCCAGCAAAAGCATTTGCCACAACTTGTTTTTGTGGCAAACCCAAGAGCCACCAGGACATGTAGAAACACTTTAAAACATGGCATATGCAGCAAGGCCTAAAATATCAACACGTCTACGAGACACAGATTGAAACCATCGAAACATCCGAATCCAAAAACTAACCAACAGTAACCATTTTCTAAATCACTTTTGATCGTCAATAGTCATGTACTAGTAACTCTAGAGCTCACTAGGATAAAATGAAAGCATCCAACACCATTCAATGCACCTGGAACAAAATTGGAAAACATAGAAAGCACGATCCACGAAAAAGAAATAAGTAGAGACTTGACATGCTTATTTGAAGCACTTGGCATCCGATACAGAGCCTCACACTCAGAAGGCTCCTCTCCCATATGAATCAAGGGGTGTTAACTGTTGGTGAAATAGTTGAGAGGTAGCAAGTCCAGCCCTTCCAAATGTATCAATCAAGCAAGTATAGTGCTCCTTTTGATGCTCAATACCATATACTTTCCTCATGCTTTTAAATATCTCAATTAAGCCAGCGTGACAAGAAACTAGATAGAATCCCGATGACAACAAATCCTCGTATAAGAGTTAACTTAACACCTTGAAGGACATTAATATCTCCCCACACTTTGCATACATGTCAATAAGAGCGTTACTTGCGATAGTATTGACTCCAATTGCCCCCTCAAATCTCTCGTTTCGTATAAATCCTGAAATCATAACCGTCCAAGAAACAATAACAATATCTCCTTCAGGAATTACTTCAAACATATAGCATGCACTGCCCAAACCCCTATAACCCATATACATTTTAAGGATTGCATTGTCCAGAATCACATTACTTCCAGCACCAACAACATTCCTAAGGCTAAACCCATGAATGGATTTCCTTAACTTAACAAATTTCAATATAGAACAAGCTTAAAGAACACAAACAAGGGTTAATGGATTAGACCTCACACTCATTGAACCAGATGCCAAAAGGGCTTTCCATTCGTAGCCATTCCTCACAAACACCGATACAAGCGAAGTCTACAAAATGACATTGGGGTCAGAAATCTCATCGAAAAAAACCGTCAACATTTAAGCGCATAAAATATCATATTCGCACAAGACACATACACACATACAATTAACTAACTTACCTCATAAAATCAAGAGTCCTCATCATCGTCAAGTTCCCTCCTCTGCACGCCACTACTGCTTCCTCCAGCAAGTCCAGCCTGAAAATAAATAGATTTATATTTAGAGAATAAAATTCAACAAAATAATTGCTTGTCTGTAATTTACCTGTGCGCCAACGTCTAAATCTAATTGGTCCAAAACTTCTTCAAATAATTCAGCTGAAATCTTCCCGGACAAGCATAAAACGATGTGTGTAAAAACATCGTCGCTAGTAGGGGATGGAGGCAAATCTGAACACATAGCCGTCGTCACCTGCATGAGTAATGTACGGTCGATCTTATGGCGCAGATAACGGTTGACGCGCATAATTGTAGAAGATGCAAGGGTTCTGTCTGATGATGTTGTCGCAGTCGAGGCTGTCGAGGATGCCGTGGAGGATAATCTGGAGGTACCCCGCTGAGCTCCAACCCCCATCAATGGAAATCTGCCCTGGTTATTATACCCCATCACATTCATTGCAATGACATTATTTTCCTCTCTAGACAAGACATGAGGGTCATCAGCAGCTTCTTGGGTAGCACGTAGTGCTGCATCCTTCGACGCGGCAGCAATATTATCCTAAATCACATAAGAAAAATAGATATATATTGATTTGTCAAATAATGAATGTGGCCCTGTAAAAAGTGTAGGTGGAAAAGCGAATTTTTTTTAAGAAGCCTGATTTCAAAGTACAACAGTTTAAACTATTAATTAATGAAATGTACAACAACGTAATAGTTATTATTTAATGATTTATTGAAAAATAATTACCACCAAAACCATGTTTTCTTTAATCTTGTCTTCATTTTTATATGTTGAGTGAAAGGTGTCGTAAGCTAACTTCGCCTTCAAATTGATCGGCATTATGGGCTTCCCCTACAAAATATAATAGTAAATGTCGAAAAGTTTGGTCATATTGAAGGTTGTAGCATGTGAATACAACAACGTAAATATTATACCGTGTCTCGACAATAACTATACTCAAGATTGGCAAAGGACGTCGATCCCAAGTGGTGGTCAAGCTTCCGCTTGCTATGTCGGTTCGTCGAGCCCTTCTTAGATTTATCCTACAAAAAAAATGTGTTAAAAATGAATTGCATTTACAATATGTTTTTGTACGCAACCTGATAATGTACTCATACCTGTGCGGACTCGGTATCCCAATAAAAAAGAAGAGCCGTGAAATGACCGAGATCTACCCTCTCATCGAGATTTAAAAATCTCTGCCAATCTTGGGTATATTTATCATATGTATGAACCTTCAGCTCATGTCGCCACTGTTTGAGCACGGCCTCAACTTTGATATTGAAGACATAGTGCCACGCCCCAGGGTAGTCCTCAAGACAATAGTATTTCTACAATTTTGCATGTAAAAATATAAGATATCTAAGCATTTTGTAAATGTATTCTATATTAAAAAAAAAATCAAAGAAGTAATGATCATATACCATCAACTCTCTCCATATATCCTCGCATGCGGACCACGGAAGCTCCTTGAATTTGAAGTACGGGTTTATGACTTGGGCCTGTTAGCCCTTATGTTTTGATGATGTTCTTACAACCACCATTATCGGTACTAATGGCTTATTGAGTGTAAATGTAGTAAAATCATTTGTCAAGCTCGTTAGTGCCATTAATGGAGGATGGATGGAATATATGCTACAACGAAGATATCCAAAGGAGGAGGAGGCCAAGAGATGAAGCAACGTTATTTCAAGAACGTCAAATTCGATTAAAAGCTTCATCCGATTCAAGCTATATCAAAGCTCAAGTATATTGCTCTCTATATGAGGATATTAGCTTTCTTTTGTTTTTCTCTCTAGTGCTAGAATGTAGGCAAAGAGTTACTGAGTTTACTTGAAGCTATTGGGAATCACACACACGTTTTTAAACTTGTGCTTTTAAGCGTTTTTCACAAAATACTATTTTTCACAAGTTTGAGTACCTATCTGCAAAATTCTTTTTCCAAGCAGTTTGTTTTTGTATTAAAAACATTTTACAAAGTTTCAGAAATTTTCAGAGGTCAAATGAATATTTTGGAAATATTTCAACTTGGTCAAATAACCTGATTTCAGAATATGTCAGAAATCGGTCGACCGGTCCGTCGGTCGACCGATCCGATGACCTTTCTTCAACTATGTCTCCAGAGTGTCGTCGGTCGACCGATACGGTCGACCGAATTTCTCAACCCTTAATCGGTCGACCGTACCGGTCGACCGATGAGTCTCTGGATGTTTTGTCAAAATTCCTTAGCTGCTGGCGGTCGACCGATTTTTTCGGTCGGTCGACCGAAGGTATTTTTCGGCGACGATATTTTCTTCGGTCAACCGATTTTGCCTCTGTTCAGCCGCGACTTTTTAAAACGGTCGTTTGCCTCGAACCCTGTGCTTTCACTTGTTAGTGATTGGCACGGTCTGTGATGAGGGTCTGAAGAAGAGATTATTATCTCATTTGGGTAGATTTGTTTTGTTTTAAAATGATTTAAACTCTCTATAAAATCCCCAGACCTCTTCTTCTTTCCTCTAAGCCCTAACGTTTGAAAACCAGAGAGCTTTTTCTGTTTCCTGAGAAAATTTTCAAAACTCTGTTTTTCTTTCTGTTTCAAGTGTGTTTCACTTCCCAGCTTCAGTACTCTTCTCTTTGCTATAGGGGCTTGTGTAAAGAGAGGTTCTTGCTTGTTTTTTCTTCTGCTGCTGTGTGGTAGAGATCTGTGGAGATCTACTGTGAGGGAGTGTGATCTGTGAGATCAAACTGTGTAGTGAGAGAGAGATCTTGTGGGATCGCTGTGTAGACGAAGTTCCGGCTTCCAAACCGGATGTGTTAGTGGATTTCTCCTCGAGAGTGGGGAGCGGGGACGTAGGTCAGCGGGCCGAACCTCGTTAACACATCGCGCGTCAAGGATAACGATTCCTAACTCTATCTCTTTCTATTTGATTGCACTTCTGTTTTGTGGTTTGCTTGTGCTGAGTTTTAAATTGCATATTAGAGCCTCTTGACCCTAATCACCCCCCCTCTAGGGTCCAACAATTACAATTTGACGGCTTTCAGAAGACTATAATTTGAAGACTTTCACATAGATCAATCGTATTTTACCATATTTCCTTAGCTGCTCGCGGTCGACCGAATTTTTCGGTCGGTCGACCGACTAAGTTTTTCGGTCGACCGAATGTTTATTTCGGACGACCAAAATTTCCTTCAGTCAACCGCGACTTTTTTAAACGGTCGTTTTGCCTCGTTTGTTGTGCTTTCACTTAATAGTGTTTGGCACAGTCTGAGGTAACAACCTGAAAAGTAGATTATCTTCCTAAATAGGAAGATTGGGTTTTTGTTTTTAATTGGTTTAAACTCTTTTATAAAAACCCCCCAGACTGCTTCTTCTTCCCTAGCCCTAACGTTTGCAAAAACCAGAGAGCTCTGTTTTCCTGAGAAAATTTTCAAATCTGTTTTTCTCTGTGTTTTTGTGTGTGATTCACTTCCCAGCTTCAGTAACCTTTCTCTTTGTCATAGGGGTTGTGTAAAGAGAGAGTCTTTTACTTTTTTCTTCTGCTGTGAGGGTGAGATCTTGTGTAAGATCTACTGTGAGGGTGTGATCTGTTGAGATCAAACTGTGTAGTGAGAGAGATCGTGTGGGATCGCTGTGTAGACGAAGTTCCGGCTTCCAAACCGGGTGTGTAGTGGATTTCTCCTCGAGAGTGGGGAGCGGGGACGTAGGCCAGAGGGCCGAACCTCGTTAACACATCGCGCGTCAAGGATAACGAACTCCTAACCCTATCTCTCTTACTTTTATCGCATTTTTGTTTTGTGTTTTGCTTGTGCTGAATTTATATTGCATATTAGAGCCTCTTGACCCTAATCACCCCCCCTCTAGGGTCCAACAATTGGTATCAGAGCTTGGTCTCTATATCAGTTTTTGGTTTAACAACCTTAGAGAAAAGATCTAATGGAGGCCTCTTTGAATATGCATATGTTGGAAGGACAATCCACCACTAGACCACCTCTCTTCACAGGGACCAATTTTGCTTATTGGAAGGCTAGGATGAGAATTTACCTTCGTTGCATTGATCTTGACATCCTAGGGCTTATAGAAAAGAAATATGTAGAGAAGTCCAAAGTTGAGAACATGTCCGATGATGAAAGGCACCTTGCCAATCTCAATGCTAAGGCCATGAACGCCTTAATCTGTGGTCTTTCCCCCAATGAATACAATAGGGTTTCCACGTGTGCAACCGCATACGAAATTTGGCAAAAATTATGTGTCACACATGAAGGAACACCCCAAGTTAAGGAATCTAAGATTAGTGGACTCATGCATGATTATGAGCTATTTAAAATGCTTCCTAATGAATCCATTGATGCTATGTTTTCCCGTTTTACTAATATCATCAATGAATTACATGGTCTAGATAAGCAATTATCCATTCAAGAGATGAACTACAAGATACTTCGCTCATTGACTCCGGCATGGGAGCCCAAGGCTACGGCCATTGAGGAAGCTCATGACCTCACTATCTTAGCTCTTGATAGTCTCATCGGAAAGCTCAAAGTGCATGAGAAGAAGCTCAAGGGGAAGGAGAAGGAGGAAGTGCCATCACGAGAAGTTGAGGAGCCGTCACCAAAGTTGAAGACCATAGCTCTCAAGGGAGCTAGTGACAACTCATCTTCGTCGTCGGAGAGTGAAGTTGATTTTTCTAGAGAAGTGGCTCATCTCTCTAGAAGAATCTCTAGACTTATAAAAATGAACAAAAAATTTAACCCTCGATCTAACAACAAGTTTTCCTCTCGTGTAGGTAAATGTTTTGAGTGCAATGAACCGGGTCACATCGCTAAGGATTGCCCCAAGCTCAAAGAAAAGTACATGAAGTACAAGAAGAAGAAGGCTATGTATGCCGGATGGGAAGAATCCGAACCAAGTGACTCGGATAGTGATGAAGAAGGAGCCAAACTTGCTCTTCATGACCCAAATGTTTGTTTCATGGCAAATGAACATGAGGTAATATCCGAGGCCGAAAGTGAATCTTTTTATATGCAATGTGACATAGCTATGGCTTTAGAAGAGTTGAACTTTGAATTTAAAAGAATGTCTAAAGAATACTCTTCTTTCAAAAAATTGCATGCCTCTTGTGATATTAAGCTAGAACAACTAACAACCTCTCTTGCTCTAAAAGATGAATTGCTTGGAGATCTCGATTTTGAGAACAAGCAATTAAGATCAAAGATTGAAAGACTAGAAATTGAGGGTTGTAGGACTAGACCCACTCATGCTTATGCCAACTACAATCACCATGGTAGAAATAGGTTTCATGGTTCTAACATTCGTACATACAAAAGAAATTTTGTATGCACCTATTGTATGAGACATGGACACATTTCTACTCATTGTAGAATTAAAGACAATGAAGATTTTTATGGTTTGATATGGGTACCCAAAGGTACCAAAACTACTAACCACCAAGGACCCAAGACATGGGTACCTAAAGCTACTACACCTTCATCTTCTTCTTTTGTAGGGAACGTCACGGCAACGACGTAAGGAGATGTGGTACCTTGATAGTGGTTGCTCACATCATATGACGGGCAACAAAGAGTTATTTGCAACCCTATCAAGGATTGAAGGAGGCAATGTCTCCTTCGGTGGTGGTGAGAAAGGTAAAATCATTGGTATCGGTTCTATTGGTAAGAAACCCTCACCCATTATTGAAGATGTTTATTTAGTAAATGGCTTGAATCATAATCTTCTTAGCATTAGCCAATTAAGTGATAAAGGTTTTGATATTTCTTTTAAACCGGATAAATGCATCATTAGTATGGATGGAAAAATTGTTTTTATTGCAAATCGCAAGTCTAATGTTTACATTTTTGAGATGAATGAGTTAGTGAATCAAGATGTGAAGTGTCTTGCGGCAATTGATGAAAATCCTTGGATTTGGCACAAGAGACTTGGACATGCAAATATGGAGTTAATATCAAAATTGTCTAAGAAGAATCTTGTGAAAGGGCTACCTAGCTTGCACTTCATAAAAGATACAATTTGTGAGGATTGTGCCAAAGGTAAACAAACAAAGTCTTCTTTCAAATCCATCCATGAGGTATCGACTTCTAAACCCTTGCAATTACTTCATCTTGATTTATTTGGTCCTATGCGTGTTACCTCTCTTGGAGGCAAACACTATGTTTTTGTGATTATTGATGATTTTTCTCGTTTTACATGGACAATATTTCTTGCTAAGAAAAATGATTGTTTTGAAGAATTTGCTAATCATGTTAAAAGAATTGAAAATGAAAAGGATTTGAAAGTTGTTAAAATAAGAAGTGATCATGGTGGTGAATTTCAAAATGAATTTTTCTATGATTTTTGTGCTCATCATGGTATAACTCATATGTTTTCCGCTCCTAGAACACCACAACAAAATGGTGTTGTTGAACGGAAAAATCGTACCATACAAGAGATGGCACGCACTATGTTAAACTCATTTGATTTACCAAAATATTTTTGGGCGGAAGCCGTCAATACGGCTTGCCCTGTTTTAAATCGTGTTTTGATTAGACCAAAGCTTAAGAAAACTCCTTATGAACTTTATTATGGAAAAACTCCTTTCATTGGTTATTTTCGTGTCTTTGGTTGCAAATGCTTTATTTTAAATACAAAAGATCACCATGATAAATTTGATTCCAAAATTGATGTTGGTATTTTCTTGGGTTATGCACCTCGAAGTAAGGCTTATAGGGTCTTCAATAAACGAAGCCTCGTTGTTGAAGAGTCTATAAACGTTACTTTTGATGAGACTAATGTTGGCTCTCAAGTTGTGTTGCCTAGGAAAGATGATGATGATGATATTGAGGGAGGATTGGACTTGTTGCAAATCAATGACACTCCCTCTATAGAAGTTCAAAAGGATGTGGATAGCACAAACGCTCAAGATCAAGTTGAACCACCTAAAGCTTGGAAATTCACATCAAATCATCCAAAGGAACAAATCATTGGGAGCCCTTCAAAAGGAGTTATAACTCGCTCAAAAGCCTTGAGTGAATGTGGTAATGTTGCATTTCTATCTCAACTAGAACCTAAAAAGGTTAATGATGCTTTAAATGATGAGTTTTGGGTTTTGGCTATGCATGAAGAATTAAACAATTTTCAAAGAAATGAAGTTTGGAAGTTAGTTCCTAGACCTAACAATGCTAGTGTTATTGGTACAAAATGGGTTTTTAGAAACAAACTTGATGAACATGGCATTGTAACTAGAAATAAAGCACGTTTGGTTGCCCAAGGATACAATCAAGAGGAGGGCATAGACTATGATGAAACCTTTGCACCGGTTGCAAGGTTGGAATCTATTAGGATGTTTTTGGCATTTGCTAGTTTTAAAAATTTCAAACTATTTCAAATGGATGTCAAAAGTGCTTTCTTAAATGGTTTTATAGAAGAGGAAGTGTATGTTGAGCAACCCCCCGGTTTTATAGATCATGCTTTTCCTAATCATGTTTACCGGGTACAAAAAGCTTTATATGGGTTGAAACAAGCTCCTAGGGCTTGGTATGCTCGCCTCTCTAGTTTTCTTATTGAAAATGGTTTTTCAAAAGGAACAATTGATAACACACTTTTTGTGAGAAAAAGGAAAAATGATTTCATTTTGGTTCAAATATATGTGGATGACATTATTTTTGGTGCTACTAATGAATCCTTGTGCAAGGAATTTTCTAAAGTTATGCAGGATCACTTTGAGATGAGTATGATGGGAGAGCTTACATTCTTTCTCGGGCTCCAAGTCAAGCAAACTAAGGATGGGATCTTCATTTCACAAAGCAAGTATGCGAAGGAATTGGTGAAGAAATTCAAGTTGGAGAATTCTAAGCATGCGCCTACTCCCATGAGTACTAGTGTTAAGCTTGATGCGGATGAGAGTGGTGAAGATGTGGACCAAAAACTATACCGAGGTATGATAGGTAGTCTTCTTTATCTCACCGCTAGTAGACCCGACATCATGTTTAGTGTATGTGCATGTGCACGTTTTCAAGCGTCTCCAAAAGCATCTCATTTAATTGCGGTTAAAAGGATCATTAAGTATGTTAATGGAACTTTTAACCTTGGTTTGTTTTATCCAAAAAGCACCACTTTTGATTTATATGGTTTTTGTGATGCCGACTTTGCCGGATGTAAGGTAGATCGCAAGAGTACTAGTGGAACATGCCAATTCTTAGGAAATTCCCTTGTTTCTTGGGCTTCCAAGAAACAAAATTGTGTTGCATTGTCCACTACGGAAGCGGAATACATTGCCGCCGGCTTATGTTGTGCTCAAGTTTTATGGATGAAACAAAGTTTAGTTGACTATGATTTGAATTTTCAAAATATTAAAATCTTTTGTGATAACACAAGTGCCATAAATATTTCCAAAAATTCGGTTTTGCATTCTAGAACTAAGCATATTGACGTGCGCCATCATTTCTTACGCGATCATGTAGAGAGACAAGATGTATCCCTAGTATTTGTTGACACCAAATCTCAACTAGCGGATATATTTACTAAGCCTCTTGGAGAGGATGATTTTTGTCGCATAAGAAATGGTTTGGGCTTATGCACTATGTGAAAGTTCTACATTGCTTGCTTGATTAGTTGCATTTTGCATTTGGCATTTCTCTTTACCCCATTTTTGATGGTGACAAAGGGGGAGAGAAATCTCCTCATTTGTTGCATATATTTAGGGGGAGCTCATAGATAGGGGGAGCACCTATCTATAAGCTATTTCATTTTTGCTCTTATATAATGGTTGGTTGTCATCATCAAAAAGGGGGAGATTGTTAGCCCTTATGTTTTGATGATGTTCTTAAAACCACCATTATCGGTACTAATGGCTTATTGAGTGTAAATATAGTAAAATCATTTGTCAAGCTCGTTTGAGTGTAAATGTAGTAAAATCATTTGTCAAGCTCGTTAGTGCCATTAATGGAGGATGGATGGAATATATGCTACAACGAAGATATCCAAAGGAGGAGGAGGCCAAGAGATGAAGCAACGTTATTTCAAGAACGTCAAATTCGATTAAAAGCTTCATCCGATTCAAGCTATATCAAAGCTCAAGTATATTGCTCTCTATATGAGGATATTAGCTTTCTTTTGTTTTTCTCTCTAGTGCTAGAATGTAGGCAAAGAGTTACTGAGTTTACTTGAAGCTATTGGGAATCACACACACGTTTTTAAACTTGTGCTTTTAAGCGTTTTTCACAAAATACTATTTTTCACAAGTTTGAGTACCTATCTGCAAAATTCTTTTTCCAAGCAGTTTGTTTTTAGTATTAAAAACATTTTACAAAGTTTCAGAATTTTCAGAGGTCAAATGAATATTTTGGAAATATTTCAACTTGGTCAAATAACCTGTTTTCAAAATATGTCAGAAATCGGTCGACCGGTCCGGTCGACCGATCCGATGACCTTTCTTCACTATGTCTCCAGAGTGTCGTCGGTCGACCGATACGGTCGACCGAATTTCTCAACCCTTAATCGGTCGACCGTACCGGTCGACCGATGAGTCTCTGGATGTTTTGTCAAAATTCCTTAGCCGCTGGAGGTCGACCGAAGGTATTTTTCGGTCGACCGATATTTTCTTCGGTCAACCGATTTTTGCCTCTGTTCAGCCGCGACTTTTTTAAAACGGTCGTTTGCCTCGAACCCTGTGCTTTCACTTGTTAGTGATTGGCACAGTCTGTGATGAGGGTCTGAAGAAGAGATTATTATCTCATTTGGGTAGATTTGTTTTTGTTTTAAAATGATTTAAACTCTCCTATAAAATCCCCAGACCTCTTCTTCTTCCTCTAAGCCCTAACGTTTGAAAACCAGAGAGCTTTTTCTGTTTCCTGAGAAAATTTTCAAAACTCTGTTTTTCTTTCTGTTTCAAGTGTGTTTCACTTCCCAGCTTCAGTACTCTTATCTTTGCTATAGGGGCTTGTGTAAAGAGAGGTTCTTGCTTGTGATGCGAAGACGATGGTGTCCAAGAACCCTCTATAATGATTAAAGAAGATAATTAATACGAGAAAATTGTAAGATCATTATATTGAGATGCAAAGCAAAAATAAATATATTGCGACACCATTATCTGTAGTGTGGGAGGGCTCTGCATGTGAATCAGTGGCTCTGGGTGAAGAATAATCAATGCCTGCCAAATTATCTATGCAAATAAAAATTAATATTGCGTACATACAATAGATTTTAAATACAAAAGCTGGACTTTAAATATGATTGGATAAATATTACAAACACATATATGATTAATACCTATATGAGGCGAGAATGCTAGAGTTGTGTCCCGTAGACGGCCCGATAATTCCGCATCATCTACCCATATAAAAACAACTTAGCCTAAATGATGTTTCATATGTCTACTTTGAGTTGTACAAAGATAATTGAAATTCATACCTATATCCGGATGTGCTGAAATGTGTGCCTCCAGAAGCTGTTCTGAGCCTAGGGCCTCCTGAAGCTGTTCTGAGCCTAGGCTCATAGATCGTGACCGATCACGAGATCGATCGAATAACCTCGAGTTCTTCATCTGTAACATGGAATTAGGAGAGTTCAATACGAAATATTTATCTACTAATTCACAAGATAAACATTTATTGCAATTAAACATTTAAATAACATTCGAGCACAAAATGACATACATAATATACCTTCTACAACTTGCTATTTTCGTATTGAACGAGGTATTGTTTGTATTGCTCGGGCTATATTTAACGTTGCCTGCTTTCGTCTACTAGTAGTTGATTCTAGTTGCACATCTGCCTCTGGTTCTCTATCCCTGACTAAAATTGGGTTGTCAGCGTGAATCTCCGCATCTGTCATATCAAGCATGACATTCTGAGGGTAAGAGAACATCTACCAAATTTCATCAGAAGAACCAATTGGTTCATTGTCCTCATCACTATCGGCGTTATTATTAGGGAGGACAATAGATCTTGGCTCCTTGTATAGCACGACCCAATCGGCGGCAACCTTTGGGTCTTTCACATAGAAGCACTGGTCCGCCTGTTCTGCGAATATGAACTTCTCATCTAGATATATCTCTTTGTCGAGGTTTACTAGTGTAAACCCATAATGATCCTTGCGCGGTTTGGCAGGACTCCAGCGAACCTTAAACATGCAATAATTACGCTGACTTTTTTTACCATAGCCGTAAATTATCTCTACAATATCTTCCAACTGGCCATAATATAAGATGTCAGCTTCAACTGGGTTTTGATCTCTTATGCTGGAAAAATATTCCTGAGCAAAACAGACCATGACCCCACTATTTTGCGTTACCCTCTTATCATCGGTCGCCACTGTTTTAAACTTATACCCATTAATGATGCGTTCACTATATCGTCTCACTTCATAGTAAGGACATTGTGTGTGAACTAAAATATCTTCAGAGATTACGACACTAGCAAGAACGTCTTTATCAACCTAATTCAAGCATCAATTGAATAAAATGATCTCCGAGTTTGCTTAAAAATTTAAAAATAAAAAATACAATACTACTTCTATGCTACTTACATCGTTTCTGAACCAATCGGGAAAATCTTTGATGTGTTTTTTTGGATATCATGTGCTGTATTCCTGCCTGATATTTCATTGTTAAGCTTCTCTAAATGTCGCCTATTTATACAACAATGAGATTGTATTGGTACAATGAATGTAAATAATACAAGTGTCATCCTATTCCTAAATTAATGTACATTACCTTCGATAATCACTGAAAATGTCTAGATTATTCAATACATATGCATGAACCTGCGCCAAGTCAGATCTTGGATATTTTACGAGTTTCTTCTCCTTAGTTGGGGGCTGATCAGCTTTTACGCGGTTGCGCATGTAACGTGATGCAAACGTATGACATTCGTTGGTCACGTAACCTTCAGCCATAGAACCCTCTGGATGAGCTCGATTGCGAACTAGACGCTTCATAAACCCCAAATATCTACAATAATTAAAATTTTATGAACTATAAATATCTAATCTAAAGAAAATCATGAATATGATTAATATTAGCTGTATACATTGCATATGAAATTAATGCACTGGGTGAAGTCCTTACCTCTCAATTGGGTACATCCAACGGTAAGATACAGGACCCGCAATGATTACCTCGCTAGCTAGATGTTGAGTAACATGGACCATGACAGTGAAAAAGGAAGGAGGAAATATTAACTCCAGGTTGCACAAAATTAATGATATTTCTGTTTCAAGCTTTTTAAATTCCTTCACATCTATAACTTTTGAGCACAATTTTCTGAAGAACCCACAATACTCCATGATAATTTTCGATGCTTCTTTCTCCATATTATTACGCAATGCAACCGGGAGCAATTGATGTAGAAGAACGTGATAATCATGGGTCTTTAGGCCTAAGAGCTTCCTCTCCTGCACCTGGACATTATTTGATATATTAGCTGAATACCCATCCGGTGATTTTACTGATTTGAGGACCTCACAAAATCTCTGCATCTGCTCGGTCGACATCGTAACACGAGAGGAAGGCTTATGTTTTTTCTTAAGTCCAACATCTTGTGCTTGCAAATCTTCCCGGATATTCAATGCAGCTAAGTCTTGTCGAGCCCTTAGGTCATCCTTTGACTTATTAGGATCTTGAAGGAGGGTTGAAACTATATTGTCGCAAACATTTTTCTCAATATGCATGACATCCAAGTTATGCCTGATTTTAAGCTTTTGCCAGTATGGCAGCTGGAAGAAGATACTGAATTTATTCCATCCCTTTGGTAATTTATCGACTCCATTATCAACATGTGCCCGCTGGAATGCTCTCTTCCTCTTCAGTGTCTTTTTCTTTTTACCGGAGCCTCTAACTTTGAGTGAGTCGTACTTAGAATATCGGTTCTCACCAAATCTAATTTTAGGAAGATGCTCAAGCAACTTTACAATATCAGCACCGGTCATTTGACGTGGTTTATTCCTAGTCTCAACAGTGCCGTCAAATTTATTGCTCAATTTTCTGTATTTGTGGCCCGAGGGCAACCATCTCCTGTTGAACCAATAACATCACTTTCGACTATATGGTAAGTGAAGGCCTTCAAATTCTGGGCCACATACTGGACAAGCAAACTTGCCTTTTGTAGACCAACCAGAAAGATTAGCATAAGCTGGAAAATCATTAATTGTCCACATTAGGATAGCACGAAGTCTAAACGACTCTTTAGCATGGGCATCATATATCAACATACCCTCCGACCATAACTGTTTTAGCTCATCAATTAAGGGCTCTAAGTAGACATCAATATCATTACCCGGTGCATGCTTACCCGGTATCAGTAATGAGAGTATCATATACGGTTGTTTCATACAAAGCAGTGGGGGTAAATTATATGGCATTAAGACAACTGGCCATGTAGACCAACCTGAACTCATAACCCCGAACGGATTGAATCCGTCGCTAGAAATCCCAAGTCTGACATTTCTGCATTCACGAGCGAAATTGGGAAAAGTCTTATCAATATGCTTCCAAGCCTCTGCATCAGCTGGATGTCTCAGCTTACCATCTTCTATACGGTCTTCTTTGTGCCACCTCATGTTCTTAGCGGTGTCTTTGTTCATATACAGACGTTGCAATCTGGAAACTAACGGGAAATGACGAAGCACCTTAGCTGGAATCATGCTCTGCTGGTACATTGACTCTGTTGGCTACCTTGTTGAAGAGCGGGTTTGTTGTTTCCATCGAGAAACTCCACATGTTGGACATTCCTGTAGGTCTTTATTATCCTTGTAGTAGAGAATACAATCATTGGGACACGCATCAATCTTATTGTAATCAAGCCCCAGATCGGAAACTATTTGCTTTGCCGCATAAGTTGTTTTAGGAATGCTACGCTCTCCTCCTGGAAATACCTTCCGTAGTAAATCAAGAAGCATTTCGAAATGAGTATTTGCCATTCCACTGAGGCTCTTAATATGTAAGAGCTCCAACATAAATGAAAATCTGGAGTACTCGGTGCAACCCTCATACAAATCCTTTTCACTATCCTCTAGTAGTTTCATTATACGATCCAAGTCCTCGGGAGCATGAGCGTCTTGGACATCAACTATGATATCATCTTCATTGTCATTGTTAACATCATATTCGGTATGGTCAGGTCCGATATCAGTCTGTAAATTTACGTCTGTATCATCTATCCTGACACCATGACTGGTATCGACATGCTCATCCGGGACTTCATCTTCGGTACGGCCTTCCCCGTGATAGGACCAATATTTATATTCCTCATAGAAACCAGAGTTTGCTAAGTGACTTCGTATTTCATCTTTATTTTTCAGCTTCATATTCTTACACCTATAACAGGGGCAGTACATTGCACCGCTACTTAAATTTTTTGGGTTCATTTCGGCATACTTCATGAAGGCTTCACATCCATCCCTATATCGTTGATCACGAAACCGTTCACTCCTAGGGATATCTATCCATGACTTGTCAGGAATTTTCCTCATCTGTAGGTAATAATAATTTAGAAATATATTTGAGAATAGATAGTATACCCGTAAATTTTAAACTATTCCTCTTACGTTGTTGCATTTAAGTATTAGCATTAAGGTATGTTTGAAACTTATTAAGGTATGGAGACTAATTACCACACTCTAACGGCTGTCATAAGAAGGCTTCTATCCATTAAGAATATAATAGTGCTTACATCCAACTTCATATACTTTGTATGATTTCATTTCTTAAAAATTTCGGCAGCACCTACCCGCTGTTCTCCCTGTACACTGTACGGATGTTATTATGCGTACTGACAACATATCAAAACGCAAAACAACATACGCTTATTGTACACGGAGAACAACAGGTATGGGCTGCCAAAATTTTTAAGAAATGAAATCATACAAAGTATACAAAGTTGGATGTATGCACTATTATATTCCTAACCCGTCCGAGAAGGACAGATCTAATAATTACAAATTTTTATACCAATTCATTTCTATTATAATATAAAGTGAATGATCAATTTCGAGTAGGAAAATTTACCTCTTACCCAACATTGACTCGTTCACCTTATATTATAACCTCAAAGAATTGGCTGTAATTATTGGACGGGAGTCTAGGGTTAACGTTATATTTTTTACCTAAATTGGATATATAACACATTATTATATAATATTGCGTTATATATCACTCTATTTTTTGAAAACTTTTTCTTGCAAACTCACATTTTTAAATCACAAGCCTATATAATCACATTTGTACAATTCAAATCACAAACTGTATGATAAACATGAGAACCTTGTGGGCTTAACTAGCTAAACAAGATAACAGAAATAGAAGTTGCTAATGAGGAGGAGGTATCATATATAAATTCAAATCTACAATTGTTACATCTGTGGCTTGGTGCCCATGCTATTGAGTAATAGTTTCCCTTATTGCTACTAAAGCAAATCAAAACTAAAATGTAATGGAAATGAATCAGATGGGCCTGAATGTATCTAATTCACAAGATAAATTCAACACAAGCAAAAGAACTAGATTAAAGAATTCTCTAATGGTATAGAATAAACAAAAAAAAGTTACTTTATGAACAGATGCAAAATTATATACACCCATGGCTACTTATAAACATCAAAATCA